TGAGACTTCATTCTTACATTTCAGTCAAGAAATGTGCAGATAGACTAAACAGTAGAGATTGACGGAATGACAACTCCTTCAACATAATAAACCTGAGATCGTGGAATATCTTATTCCGCCCGTGACCCCATGAGCTATTCTGAAAGCTTCATATAAGCATATAGAACTCTTACGGGGAGCTTACAAGAAGGCTCACGGAACTAATGTCCTCCTCAGTATTAGTTTCGCCATTAAGATGTTAAAACCTAGAATACCTTGGTTATAAACTATTTCAGGTCCTATTGCATCTGCCTTATAAGCAGATTGACTACACGATGGCTTTGACATTAACCAGTGACTACGGCCCAGGCCCAATAATAACCATTTTCAATGACGGGTCGAAGAAGTACCACTGACAAATCCGGTGTTTGGAGATTGGTTGTTAACTGGAATATGGAAACTTAGTGTCAATCGTATGGGCCCTTGAGGAATCTGCCTTGATATAGAATCGCCTAAGCTGATCAAGTTCAATTATTATTTCAATTATCTTGCTTCTCCCAATGATTTATTTATTTATTTATTCATATGTTTTTATGCACATTGACCTATGTCCTTTCTAATTTTCTCATTAATTTAGGAGGAGATGATGATGGAGATGGGGAAGATGGTGAGGAAGTCGAGGAAAAACTTCCTTCCTGTCTCGACTACGTGATGCACTTCTTGACCATATTTTGGAAAGTCCTTTTCGCCTTTGTTCCTCCGACTGGTAAGCGAGTGGTTATTGACTTAAAATACTGTTATCTGATCAGCGGTTTTTATGTGAAGGAACCTTGCATACTAACACTTGAAACCTGATATTACTTATTAGTCTGGGTACTTTTTCGTTTTTTTGTTGTTAGCTCGCCAAGTCGAGACCCTCATTGGGTCAGCCTACCGTATGTCTTCAAATTACTATTATTACTCTTCGGAACTAGAATTAAAATATATGAATTTGCTTTCTATTTGCTTTGCCTTAATACATTACTGAGGCCATGTCTATTTCTTTTATAAGTTGTTTGACCTTGTTTTCGCAACTTGGTCACATGCAGAATAATACCTAACAGACAATGAATTCTTCAATGAAGAGTTGGGGAAACTGACTCGGATTTTCCATACTAGCGGATACCCTAAAGAATTTATAGAAATAATTATAGGGGTCATAAACACCAGATTTCAACTGGGATTTTATGGAAATAACATGAGAAATCGGGAGGATGAACAAAAGTAGATATGTCTGCCCCCCTGTGAACTAAGTCAGAAATGGCGACCGTTGCTAAGAAAATGGAATATCAAGGTGATAACAAAAAAAAAGACAACACTTTACTAGCCTGCCGATGTAACACGAGAAAGTTGGAAACCCTGCTTGCTTTAGAGTCTATAGTATCAAATACGGAAAATTTGAACATAATTATATTGGTAAAGCAGGAATAAAAATCAGCCTTCGAATCAAGGAACACCAAAGACTCTGCAGAAACATGGATACTGAATGATCCGAAATAACGGAATGCGAGATTTAACGGGTGCACATGCCTCACACTGAGAATAGAATCTGCAGCGTCAAGTTAGGTTGCCATGCCAATTGAGAATCCAGACTTTATGGGCTTGCTCAGTGAGGCTGGTGTATACATGCTATCAAAATGTTGAGGCAGAATGTAGAGCATAACGCCTCGAATAGCATGGATAAGATTGTAGCGATAGAATGAAATCACGGAAACAGACATATGAGGGAAAGATCCTACGAGGCAAGAGGGGGACCCTAATATGACCCGAAGAAAAAAGATTGCGGATTAAACCGAAGCTTTGGATCAACACTCCCGACACAGTAGCGGCACTGTGAATAGGTTTCAAATAGGTTTAGATAAACAAGTAAGAAATTGTGATATTAAAGAAGTTTTACGAGGATATAGAATACGTAAATAATCCAAGGGTATAAGGGGAGATACCACAACTGGTTAACAGACAATTGGCCATAAGATCGACTTCACTTGTTTCTTTGACGAGTTGTAGTTGGTGCTAAGCATGGCATAGCTCACTGTCAATGGCGACTACGATACCGGCGAAACGTCTGGGATTGTACCAAGTCCACGATCCGACTGTAATGTATTATGCATACTATGGACTCGGGACAAGATACGCCCCTCTAGTTCTTACTTACAATATGACCATTTCGCGTAAACAAGGTCAAATAACTTATATACAACGCAAGGGGACCGCGACCATACAAAAGCCACCTCATCTTGGCCCTCATACATTCTATTTTCTTTAGTTATCCGCTCTTTTGAGGGGCCTTATTAGGAGTTTCTTTCAAATTTAATACATGCCTCCTACTTTATCCTCATAGCATCCTAGTGTAAAGCAACTATGTCTAATGCTCCATTTTATTTACTGTTTCTTTAGCAAGAACCAATGATTCTCTTATTGACAGAAATGTATTTTGGCCGCGAATTTTATTGTGATTAAATTAGTTATTACTTAATCGTGATAAATGGAGTTAATTAAGCTTTCCAGGTCGGAGTGGGGATTTGGCGTTTACTTTATTTTTAAAATTTTATTGCATAATGTCTCCAATTATATTTTCATATGCCATTGGTCCTGCTTCCATCGCCATCCTCGGCTGACGGATAATTTAGAAACCCTATTGTGGAAACTTGCATCCTATTTTAAATCTTTAACTTTTTTATATTATCTCTAATTTTTATAAAAATGCAAGTCCCATATTTAGAAAATATCTCTTAACGGTTTGTCTAAGATGACAAGAGTATGGGAGATCATTCGAGATTTTAATAGTTACTCTCTACTTTTTAATACAGATCTATCATTAATGTTACCTCAGCCATATTTGGTCAGTATGTAACTGATCCTACTGATGTTGAAGTGAGGGTAGTGATCTGAATTTTTTGGACCCTCTTGGGGGAATATAACTTTATCTAATAAAGTCACTTTAACTGCTCTTACTATTTGAATTCTGGTGGTAGATAATCAAATGCCATTCTGTAATCCTATCATAATGTGTATAAAATGACGGATTCTCTTTGTACTAAGAAATTCATTTACAGATTAAAGTGAGTCTATTATTCAAAATATTATTACTTCCGACAAGACTTTTACTCTTCTGTCGAAACACCACTTCTTTTAAGTCTCGGCAATTATGTTTGGTCTTGAATGCCTACTAATTTATGGTGCATAATTTAGGCACTGTCGAGTTGTCTTTTATCGAATTAGAAAAACTTCCCAACTTAGTCATATTAAAGGGCCCGCCTATACTACTTTAAATTGTAATGAGATGTATTCACCCTATTTCGTGTAAGGTGATGAAGGACTGGTAGTAGAATTTTCCC